TGTTGTAAAAAAATTTTATTTTTTTTTTCCCTTAAATAAAGGCATTGCCAAGAATCCCTCTGCAACAAAAAAGCCATCTGTGAAATGGATGTACATGCAAAACTCAAGTTCTGGAACATGATCAAAGTCCAGAAGTGGACGAACAACTGGAACTTTCCCTTGGAGTTCACAGTAAGTGAATGCTAAGATGAAGAAAAAGATCTGGAAAGAGGTCAGTCTATACAATACAATCAATACAGGGCAATCTATGTTAGCATCTGGCATGCAGTGATAAGCTACTGACAACTATAACAGTAAATGATGACTACACATACCATCATCATCTTTAGACAAGTTCTGTCCTAAATCCACTGGTACAGTCTCCACTGTTGTCTCCATGGGGATGTAACTATCCTGATCCCAAGGGCTGAAGAACCAATCATGCTGGTAACAGAAGAAACAAAAACATTTTTAACAATAAGACAAACTTACACCTTTGAGAGTATTTATTGTAAAGGTTGAAAATTGGAAGTCCACTAAAGATGTAGAAAAAAAAGGTAAATGCATTCAAAAACAAATTCCTGGGGAAAATGATGAACATAAAATTGGATTAATTCAAGAGGAGTGAAAAAATAAGAGAAATTTCTGGGCAACCACTAGTATCAACAGCTGTAAGACAGAAGATGGTGTTATACTGGACACATTGTGAAAAAAAAGATGAAACAGAATCACCAAACAGGCAGTGAAATGGGAAATAGAGGGACTGAGAAAACAGGGATGTCAAAGAGAACCCCTAAGGTGAAGGTTGATGAGAGAAGGCAAAGATGCTGGACCGGATTCCACCCATAATATCAAAGTGACTGCATAGAACAGAACAAAATGGAGCAATATACTGCAAGCTCTATGTGATATATAATGGGACAATAGGACAATCAGTGAATTGTAAAGCTAACTCAATGTCAGATACCATAGCGGTTCACATTGTTCATTTAGAGATCATCTTCATCGCATACTGGACATGACCATAAGTGCTCCGATCTTCTCCGGAGTATGTCCTCCTCTGGTTTTTTTTAAAAGCTAATAACTCCCATTCTGAGCACTTCACAAATAAAAGGTGATGACCAAGAGATGGAGTGACCACTTGCTTCATCACTAGCTTCAACTCCCAGAATAATCTGGACACTTATTTCTCACAGTTGCATCGGTCTAGACTGTATTTAATTAAAAAAAAAAAAGGCTTAAAGAAAATTAACTCATTCTGCACTAAACAACATGTCAAATGTTCATTTGTGATTCTGCATGCAATATACTTTCCTTAACTTCTTCTATTTGTTACACTAGCTCCTATATCCTAATTGTCTCTTTAACACCTCTGTCCTATATGGTTATTAACTTAAGGTTAATAAATCTATACACTAGTTATTTAAAGTTATCAGTATACTATATATATATATTCATCATTGTCAATCAAGTGCCTTGCTGAATAACATGGTCAATCATGCCTCTCCACAATCTGCAACTGTGTGTATTAGTTAGTGTGTTGACATCCCTCTGTGCCATGACAAAAGGCAATCAAGAATCTTCTCACGTTGTATTCCTCTATCTCTCTGTCCACAAATCTTTCCATTGGTGACAACATGTTCCATTATCTCTCTTCTCATTACATGACCAAAATATGATGACTGTCTCTTTCTCTGCTTGCGATAAGTTGTCTTCGAGCACCTACCTCTTAAAGAAAATCTGGGTTACTTTTCTCAGCTGTCCAAGGAATTCTAAGGATTCTTTTGTAAAACCACATCTCCGAGGCCTCAAGATATTTTTCGGCTAATATATATATATATAGATCTCTATATATAATATATATATATATATATATATATATATATATATATATATATATATATACATATGTACTATGTATATATATAATATCAATAATAAAAAATAATTAGTGTGTCAGCTTTCTAGGACTAAATGAATGAATATTTTACTTCCAAAATGTTTTAGTCAACAGAAGTCATTCCAAATGTTTATACAATGTAAGTAAATAAAGCAGTATCTTTTCTTGTCTTCTTCCACCTTTATCCCATAACAGAGCAGACAGCATCTACCTGTTTCAAAACTCTCTTTTTCAACTCCATCATTATCATCCTCAAGGACTTTACAGAATGTTGATCTTGTCACCCTACACCTGAAAGTCTCTCTTTCTATAGTCAATTCTCCAGCTCTATGTGCTTTCATAGTCAATGCATATTCAGTGTCTAGTATCCACCTTCACAGAGGTCTGCCTCTGTGTCATTTTCCAGAAACGGCACCCTCCATCACCACTCTCTACTGGCTAATGTGACGTTCAAGGTGGCTAAGATACCTCAGCTTTTGGAGACAGGATGCTGTTATGAGCCATTCTTCTCAATGCTCAGATCATGTAGGATGTCGGTTTTTTTTTTGGGGGGGGGGGGAGATCCATGGTAATAGAAGAATTTTTCTATAGCATTCTTTTCAAACTCCATAAGACTAACAAATGATTGCTTTAATACACAAAATCTTTAGATAAGACAACAACCATCTGGGACTAAAAGAATGAAGTACGGAAATTAAAATGGCCTTTTAAATAATGGGTAACCTACATGAAGAATGATACTCTCCACAATGCGACACTGGTCGGACATGTCTGTTACAAGGGACACAGTGTCATCTCCTTTCTTCCGCACCAGTGTTGGACCAAACATAATAGCCAGGTTCTTAGCATCCATCTGTAGGAAAACAAATCAAACATTTAGAATAAGATATACTATAAAAGGTCCCCTTAGGACAGGTAGTGGGGATGTGAAGTAAAAGACATAACATAGATAGACATAGATACCAGTGTAGGTTCCAAAGCTTCATTTTAGGGGGAAAAGGAATAGACCCACTGCATCTGTAATAAGCATGTCATAAAAGGCGACTAATGAGGAATTTTTACTCTGAAGTTGGAACACGCCTGCCTGAGAGGTGAGGAACCAAATGTCTGCATACTAGTAGGGTAGATCTGTAGAACAGATATGCATGCAAAACTCAAGTTCTGGAACAAGACTAAAGTCCAGAAGCGGAAAAACTACCAGAACTTTCAACCGGAGTTTACAGCTCATGAATGCGAAGAAAAAGATACACATTTCTCATCAGCTAAGGTCGGGGGTTTGTTTCATAGACTGCACTGCTCGGTTCATAAGTGCAATTTTTACGTAGCTGGAGCTACAGAGTTTGTGCTTTATCTAACGATTTCGTCAGGTGGCTAGCTGTTCTGCGGAGAGAGACTCATTATTATGGGATGAAAGCTAGTGCAACTGAGTAGATTTTCTCTCTTTTAAAATTGTGTGTGTGTATGTGTATGTACGCGTGCGTGTGTGGATGGGGCTATTAAATGAAAGCTCACCTTGTTGATGTGTCCATATGAAGCAACTTTGTTCAAATGTTCTGCCATGCGCTTCAAAGTTTCATTATGGTGGGGAGGCAGCAGGTGAAGAAGCCGCTTGATCTTCAATTTCCGCTTGTCCTCATCCGGATATCGATTAGCTTCGATGAATCTTTCGTACATATCTGGAAGACAAACAGCAAAGACAACAGTTACTTTCACATAACTTATGAATAGCTTCATGTTCTAGGCAAAGTCATTATCTTACTGAAGAATATCTAATAAGGTAATAATGTTTGGTTACATGCCAGTCTGGTATATAGAAAATTCAGAATATTCAGCTAATAATGTTAAACTGGTACTTCAGTACAGAGTAGAAATTTGAAGAATGACTAAAAGACTAAAATAATTACTAAAAAACTACAAACATTTATTAACTGGTGCCAGCATAGAATAGATAGAATTAAATGTACGAGAGAATCATATGTGTATGATAGACTACCAACAGATAGAGCACAAGGGAGTGCCCTGTCACTAAAACATAATGAAGCAGAGCTGGATGTCGACCATGCAAGCGCTGGACATATGGAATATCCTAGCGACTACAGTTTCGGAAATTTGCTATCTTTTCGACAATTTCCGTTACCATAGAAACCGTTTAAAACTTGTTTCGGAAATGTCGGCTGGGGTTTCGGGATGGGTCCTAATCTCTCATGAAATTTTGCCATTGGTGTGATTTTCACCCACTCTAAATAGCTGAAAACGGCGGGAAGGAACCCGATTAACAGCGCATGTCTACGACAGCCGGACATTCTCTGTTTTTCTGTTAGTCTATCAGTTTGATTGAAAATAGCGGTAAATTCGAGGTTGGCTTTAGGCTTAAACATTACCAGTTGTGGTAATGCTAGTTACAATTGAATTCTCCGTCCAATTTTACATTTGTATATTAATTTTTTTTTCCCGACTCTGGCTGTTTAGATTTACAGTGACATTTTTTAGGCAATCGCATGCGGCTGAGTGAGCTGAGTCTCACTGCCTGCCATCTTGTCCAATGACAACAAAGCCGATACAGAACTGCGCAGTAGGTTGCGCAGTGAAAAACTTCTTGTTTCTGGGACGCAAGTTTTAGCGGCTGTTTCTTAAATCTCATCTCCACAAAAACCTACATATCTCAGCTCAGAAATGACATACAAGCCTAAATGAGGTACCATTGGAAAGAGACTGTTTACAGCTATCTAACTGTGCTGGTTTTATTGGTGTAGAGGGCATTTTAAAAATTTGACTGAAGTACCTAGAATATCCGAGCCCATAAATACAAGAATCCATATAGCGCATTCCAAGGCTCACACCCAATGCCTCTTCAAAACCTAACACTGAAAGACAGAAAGGATGAGAGAGAAGAAGAAGAATCATTGATGCAAAGCTTACAGGCAGAACTAAACAAATTCCAGTGAATCAAGAGGTGAGGAAAAGATGCACATCACAATGTGCCACTGCCCACAGAAGAAGAAAAAGAAAAAGAAAAAGAAGAAGAAGAAGCAGAGATAAAAGAAGAAAATGGCTTACCTGTTGGTATAAGTGGTTCAGGCAGTTTCCTAAAGAAAGACTTCAGAAGGCTGCTGATGACATTGATGTCCAGCAATTTTTCATTGTCAATGTTGACACTGTCAATGCCCCGATTAAACTCCTCTGTCAAAGCGGTGACTGCAGCTGAGTTTCCTGGTACACGGTAAACTCCCACTACCTCTAAGCCACGTGCCTCCACTATCCGTGTGCACAACTCCACAATCAGAGGAACAAACTGAAATGTAGTCATATTTGTGGATGAGAAATATAGTTTACAAATGCACAGTTCTGGTTTTTGTTATTTACAAGTTATAATTAAACTGCAATATATATATCTATGTTATATATATCTCAATTGAAGAAAAAAGACTTAACCAAGTCAATAAATTCAAATATCTGGGAACAATTGTATCATCAGATGGAAAATGTGTGACAGAGATTAAAAGCAGAATCGGTCAAGCGAAGGCAGCATTTCAGAAAATAAAAAATATCTTATGCAATAAGTATCTCATTTAATGTCAGAAAGAGAGCGCTAAAATGTTACAAAGAAACCTGTTCTGCTGGATGGCATGTCTTGGAATGTCGGTGAACAAATTAAGAAGAATTTGGAAACAACAGAGATGCGGTTTCTGAGATGAATGTTACAAATACCTTGGACGGCCAGAGTAACTAACAACGATTGTTTGAAAGAAGCTAATGAAAGTAGATCTCTATATATACAACAATAAGAAGATGACAAACACTATTCTATTCGTATCTTCTTCCAGTTGCTCTTTACATAAATATTACCCCCTTAAGTGATATTTCTGTTTTCACTACACATACTACTCAGGAAAAATGCACAGCTACTGAAAGGAACATAATTGTGACACTCAAAAGTTTTGTAATTTTGTGACATTAAAACGTTTTATAATTTACTGAGTGAAACTGTTCAAATTGCACACACGAATACCTTACTGTTTAGCCAATCTACTGGCCTTTCTTTTGCATCTGGGTCATCAATAGTTTATTTGGTGTATGGGCTTTCCTCTCCACCAATAGGATAACCATTTGCTTCCTTTTTGTTTTAAACAGTAAATTTTGACTTACTTCATTGTGAGGTGAAGGAAAGCAATCTTCTAAGGGCACACCAAACTGAAATTTATTGGTGTCAATATCCTGGTCTGCAGAAAGAAGAAGGCTCGAATCTTCACTATGTTTTTTCAGACTCTTCATCATAGGAATACGATCCTTCCAGCCCTTCTTGAAACTCTCGTCTGAAAGAGTATATTACAAAAATAAGTTACAGCTTACGCATTACAGGTATACACATTCTGATAGACTCTACAATTAAATGAGTACTGTGAAAAAAAAAAAAAAAAAGGTAAATTTTCATGCTAATTGAAAAAAAAAAAAAAATTATCACATCAATTTGAGAAGTATTCTGCACCATATTTTTAGGATACAGGAAGCTTAACTTGATAGCGACTACCATGCAATGCATACAAGTGATACATTTCTGCAGGGATGAAGCAGGAAGCCACGGTAGTGTAATGGCTAGATTTTTTGCTTGTCAGCCCAAAAGGTCTTGGGTTCAAATCTATATCGCATCAGACTAAAAAATAAAATAAAAAAAAACCGACTTTGCTTCCAAGCTTACAGCCTAAAATGGGTACTTTTTTTCGCGGGCGGCACGAGGTTGATTACATCACCCACTGAGTGTCCGTTGCTCTATAAAAATATGAGTCTAACACCGAGGTTAGAGTCAAAGGTAAAAGAACGGCTAGGCACCTGCCGAGAGCATCGCACAGAGCACGAACTCTGTAGCTCCAGTGATGACCCACATGGATCGTAAAAGCTGCACTTGTGAACCGAACAGCGCAGCTTTAAAATGAACCCACGACTTTCACAGTGTGAGACAAACGGCTTGACCACTTTACCACCGAGACACTCAAGAGTCTAGCATCATATGCCAAATGCATCAACAGTGTAAAAAGACTCCTAAACTGAAGAGGTATAGTAACTAGCTGACTAGGTGTCAAATTGCCAACTTAGACATAATAATTACAAGTAGTAACTAAGACATAAGGAACAGTAATAACTGTTAAAAAAAACACATCCTCTTATATATAACATTCTGAACAGCTTACAATAGGCAACAGTCAGCTACTAAGTTGTTGACACGGCCACACAACCCAATCATTATTCTATTTACCTTTATCTTTCTCTGTAGCGTTTGACTTCTTTCTTTTCATATTGGGAGAAGCCGTCAGTTTTGACTTGAAGGACAGAGCTGACAACTTCTTGCTCTTTTGGCCCATCTGTGGGGATGTTTTACTGCTGGGAATAATGTTGATTTCTATTGGAGATGGGATCTGTTTTTCTTTTCCTCCCACTTGATTATCTTCCTGCAGAATTGGTAAAACACAATTTATTTAAAAATCTATGAATATACTGTCAAAAACATTTTTTTTAAAACTACCTCTACTACGTAGGAATCTAACATGCACATAGGAACACTCTTCTCCTTCTTCTCTGGTGCTTTTTTAATTTCGATAAAACTGAAAGCTACAGTGATAATACTAAGATCTGAAACTTCCGATTTCAAGTTAGGATAGCACCTCACTGAAGGAACAAGTGCCCTTTGAAAAGCAAAGTACAAAAGACATCAGTACAAATGTGTTTACTTCATCTGGCTCTATCATTCATATAACCAAGGAGAAAAGAGATTCAATTTTTTGGAGGAGTCTGTTTGGACTCTCTCTCAAACATGACTTATGGACATGTTGTGAAAGGTGGAGACAGGTATGTTTCATGCACAGGGGTAGTTAGCATTTTTTGGATATTTTCTCCATGGTATGAAAGTGGGTTGGGAAATGAACAGGCAGATAGCTTGGCTGGTTTCTGCACCATCTGGTGTTAAACTGATGCAAGACAAGCTAGATGTTGTAATGGTCCCTTGGAAGTGAGTGACTAGGACAGAGGCACAAACAGATCATCATGGTCTGAACAGAATGGCTCAGTAAGGAGTTTCAACACTCAGAGAGTGGGAGCTGAGTGGTCTTGAGGTATAGTGTCTGCCTCGAGTGCCCGAGTTCAGGCCCCGGTGAAGGCTGGGATTTTTTCACGTTGACTTCTAATAATTTCCTCTGTTCTCTAGGTAGTAAGATTGGATACCCGAGTGTATTGTTGTGCACGTAAAAAAAAATCCATCGGCAGTTGGAAATCGAAAAGAGTAGCTTAACGGCGCTGCCAAGGCAAAATTTGGAGTTAAAAATCTACCAAAAGTATTTCAGGATCCTCACTGGTGCTACGGAGTTCATGTACTGGGCTGAGATTCATTCGGACTCAAGCTTGAGTTAGAAGTAGAACAGAACACTTATGGGTAACTACTCTTGGGCCGTGATGTGGATCCGTTGTATAAACTAAACTTAACTCAGAGAAAGGCGAGATATTACTTTTAATATCCAGATTAGAACTCTGCTATGGCATTTGAGGATGGGGATGGAGTGCTTATAGGAATGTCTAGATGGCTATGATGTCAGTTCTTAACTCATCTTAATGTAGCCGGGTGGCCACGAGTTTAGCTGGATTCGCAAAAAAGTCTGGCAAGCAGAGAACAGAATTTGATAAAAGGGCTTGTTAAACTGTATAGAACTAGATTATCATTATGTATCCTTGCTCGGACATAGTTTGATTGCATGTCTCTATAGGTGATTTACTGATCTGGTGGTATGTTGAAGCTTAATGTACATGTTAAGATGTTTAGATTTTTGCCATCACTGATGTAATATTTCTGAATGTATGTGTTCATCATCCTATTTCCTTGTTAGTGGAGTAGTAGCACATGGTCTGGCTGAGCACGTGGAGGGTGGTTAATGTATCGTTATTTGTGAACCACATGAGTTTTGTGTTCAGTAAAATAAACAGATGTTTAATGTGATAATTATAGCTCCAATTGTTTTGATTTTGGTTAGACTACCAATTAGACTTCATACAGAACATGTCCTGTCAGGGCTAAAATAGTATTGGTCTTAGTCCCCGCCTAAAAAACTTTTTCTTTTTTTCTTGTTAATGAGGCAGCCTGAGAGTGGGTTGGCTTACACTTACCATGGCAATTCTTGGTGGAGCTCTTGTATGCTTAGAGTAGATAGTTTAAAGGAGTATATTTTTATATTATCTTTCATAGTGTCTCTTCCCTTCTTCTAATACAACATCCATCTTAGGCTTCGCTTCTAGTACATTAAGTATGGCAGACAGCATCGCACAAAGCAACTCCAGCAACAACCCCAGGAATCTCCATATAAATTGCACTCGTAAAGCAAACAACTTAGCTATGACATGAATCCATGACCTTTAGAAAGCGGGGTTAACGGCTTGACCACTTCACTATGGAGACCCCCTACCTAAATAAGTAAAGAAACATTTGGCAGTTACAAACATTGATACAAAATATAACACACATATCGGTGACTAACTTTCTCGGTTCTCTCCGTTTCACTGACAGACTTAATGCCTTGAATCCAACACATCATCATCCCCCGGTCTTCTGTCTGAAACAGGTAGTCACACTCATTCTGTGTGCACAAACGAAATACATTTTTCTTCTTCTTGGCATAGTCACGAGCAAACTCCACAGTGCAGGCCTTGAGAGGGATATGCTGGTCCTCAAAGTTTCCGGATGCCTGCAGGAACAGTTTGAAATGATAAGATTGATAAGTTGAAAATTTTTTTAAAATAAAAAATAAAAAAGGATCCTTTTTACACCAGGTGGCACATCGAACATACGTCCCTCATATATTTAAATATCAGAACCCGCCAAGGCGTAGCAGCTAGACGCTATCTGCAGATCGGAAGTTTGTGGGTTCATGTCTTGACAGAGCTGGATTTAAAAAAAAAAAATGACCTTGGCTTCCAGGTTGACGCAGCCTGAAATAGGTACCAGGTAAAATCCTGGGATGTAAGGATGGCCGAACCACATCACCCATCAAGTGCCGATTTGTCTATAAAATATAGGTCTAGCTGCATATGCCCATGACACCTGAAGGGTCCTTTACTTATTTTAAAGATCATGAAAGATGTCAAACGCTCCACCCCCCCCCCCCCCCCCCCCCCCCAAAAAAAAAAAAAAAAAAAATAGTTGCTTTGCAAAATCACAAATGACAAGTGAACTTTGCGGTTAGACAGGCTTTATCAGCACATCTATAATACCACAAGAACCCAAAAAACTATTTAACTGATGTATCCCTGAAAGAAATCACATTTCTATCTGGTCAGTAAAATGTCTGAAGGACATGGGTGATCTGGTTAACATCACACTGGCCAACTTTACTTCCCAGAATTTTACTTGGTACCAATTTCAGGCTGGGTCAACCTGGGAACAAAGGTCATTTAAGGGAAAAAAAACAAAAAAAACAATCCGATATGATACGGATGCGAACACTTGACCTTTGCGCTGGAAGGGTATGTGTCTAGCTACTACACCATGGCTCCTTTAGATAAGATTGTTTCAGGTTAAATTTTATTTATTAGACTGGCAATTTACATGATCTTTTAGTCAATATTATACACATTTTTTCCCCCTGTTGATTCCAGGGCCTTCAGCGTGGAGTTGGACCCACTGCCTTCATAAATTGGCAAGTCAAAAGAACAGAATATTTAGGGAATTCTTCTGAAGTCTGAAGGCATCTGCCTTAGAGGCTAGAAACCAACAGTCTGTGTACAAAAAAGCCACAACTGTAGAATAGATAGGCACGCAAAACTCAAGTTCCGGAAAAAGACTAAAGTCCAGAAGCCGACAATCATCCAGAACTTTCCTCCTGAGTTTACAGCTCATGAGTACAAAGAATAAGATAAACATTCTTCATCAGCACGCTGCTGACTGGTGTGGACGATCATATTTCTACACATCCTGTGATTATACGAAAGGAAGCCAATAAGTAAGTCACAGATAGTTATGGGATGGCATGAAAATGTGGTTGGTGGTTTCTAAAGGTGTCATTAGGCGACAGCAACATCAAACTATATGTCTGTTAGGTGGCACTAAGTGTTGCATGCGCATTCGCAACTCAGAAAAAATGGCGACTGTACTTATGGAGTGTACCCTCAAAAAACAATGTGCTGCTGTAGGTTTCGGCAAAATGGCTGCCTTCAAATGACATTCATCAGCAAATGCTTTCTGTTTAGCCCCTACCTAGTTATTTCCACCTTTCTGGTCCACTGAAAACCCACATTGGCGGGAGACATGGGAGACATGTTGTGAATGACGCAGAAGTTGAATGTGAAGTGAAAATATGGTCCAGAAAACAGAGCACAGTTTTATGCAGCAGGTCTGGGAGGACTGTTAAAACGTTGGGACAAGTGCACCAATGTTGGTGGAAATTCCGTCGAAAAAAAAAGAGGGACAGTGTATGTGTAAAAATAAATGGTTTTCAGGTTATTATCTAAAAAAAAAACAAAAAAACCACCACTTGTGACTTCATTATTGACTTTCCCTCCTAAATAAAATTACTTCCATGGCATACATGCTTCTTATTTAAAAGTATCTCCGATTTAAATACCCTTTTTCTGTCGGTACCTCTGAAGTCTAGGCATCTTTTTCATTACCTAGAGATCAACTGGAGTACTGTAACAATTTTTGACTGGCATTTCTGCAGTACCTCATCCATTGTGCTACTACAGAAGTGACTAAACATGAATTCTTTCGAATGAAATTTACAAATTATGACTCTTGCTACACTGTACAAAGGATTTTACAAATCTATCTTCTCACAAAAACATTTACGTAAAATTTACGTAATATCTGTTTTACTTACAGATCCGGCCTCCTTATCTCGTGTGAGAAATAGCTCTGTAGGGCGCAAGATTGCGTACACTGCCTTCCAGGTACGATCACTGCACTTCTGTTGTAACAAGAAATAAATATAAGTATTACCGAGCTAAGAACTTACATAGTAGCAATCTGGACATTCCATGTTAACAGAAATGTACAAATCTGCAAGCAGGAGTAGTAATTTAAACAATAATATCCTCCCCCGTGTGGGTTCCGGGGCCCCATTGTGGGGAAAACAAAAATAGACTCACTGCCTCCCCAAAAGCATGTCGTAAGAGTCTACTAATTGGGGAGCTTCCTTTGAAGTCGGAGTGCATCTGCCGGAGAGGCAAGGAACCAATAGTCTCTTTTCAAGAGAATGAGATCTGTAAAACTGATGCACACGGAACAGTCATGTTCTGGAGTAGGACTGCAGTTCAGTAGTGGACGAGCAAACCAGAACTTTCCGCCAGAGTGTACAGCTGGTGAACGCAAAGAAGAAGAATAATAATATCCTGTTCAACCCATCCAGGTTATAATTAGATTATATATAAATTTTTTCATTGAAATAATGGATATTTATGCCTATCAATTATGTTTGGTTATTCAATATTGCATAGCTTATGTATTAACTGTTGTAGATTGTAGGAGTACAGATTGTAACGTTCAACATATTTTAATTGTACTTTCAAACAATTCTAATAATTACACTGTGTGGTCTATTTCTGCGGATTTTTAAAGTGATATGGGATAAACTGTTATCAGTACAATCTGAACACATAATTGAAACTGTGGTATTTACTGTGACTAACAAAACTACAATTTAATCTGCATCCTCAATGAGGAAAATAATTTTATATTCTTCTTCATCCTTTGTTCATCCTCAAAGGCAGTTGGCACATACTGGTGTGGCTTACAGCTAGGCAACCATTCTTTGCTGGCATAAATAACTTTTGTCATTGTATCTTGTTGCCAGGAAGGATATTGCATGTTGATTACAGTGGTGGGGAAATCCCTTGAAAGCAAACATTACTCAGAAGGCACATCTAAAGTATCATTACATACTGTTAATGTAGAGAAATTTAAAAAAACTGACACTTTATAACTGATCAAGTCAAACAAAATGTCACAATTACAGTTAACACTGGATAAGCTGTGTACCATGTTGTACATTAGTAAAGACAGTGTCCAGACCATCAGTTCATCCAGCATTACCTGACAGTCAGCAGGAATGATTTCATCAAATGTTGTGTGCAGTAACTGCAGTAGATGGATGTTCAGTCCATTTTGCATCAGCCATTGAGGACTGACCAAATTCAGATTCATCACAAAGATGTATCCAGCGTCAGAAAGTGCTAACATCCACTGCTGAATCTCCATAAAAATTCTTCAAATGTTTGTGGCTGCGAATTGGGGTCTTACCGCCAGCACTGAGAAAGTCTATGATAATAAAAAGTTATTTTAACCGATTATCTTTCGAAGCCATTTAAAAACTGCTACAGTGGTGCCAAATGTTACTGAAACAGGTTTTCGATGCTATATACAGTAGAGAAGAGTGTTTGTTGAATTCTGCTACATTTACAAACTGTACAGCGATACTATAATTACTGAGATAAAAAAATAGGAGGCATTACTGTTGGTTTTTTTTAAACGATTCCCAGCTAGCAACAGAATTTTACATTGGCAGGAATTCCACAGCAGGTGATCACAAATCTGCACAGAGGAGCCACACTACACCATGACAATGTACTCGTACAACATCACTGCTAATACATGACTTGAAGTTGTTTTCTTACAGCCACCTTACTCTCAAGATTTTGTGCCTCTGGCAGATATTTTCTTATTTCTAAAAGTGAATTTCAAATTTATTGTGGTTTATTTTAGACCAAAGAAGAGATATCATGGGAATATGGTTATAAAACATGCATGGTGCACCAGAAAATGAGTTCATCAATAGCTTACAAAAATGCAGAAAATGATGGCAGTGATAGAGGGAACTATTTCCAAGTAGACAAATCTAAATTGTAAAGTAATGCAATCATTTTTTCTTCAAAATCTAGTTATTTTGGGGGATTGTCCATATAACATTTGACCTGACAAAACCCACTCATTAGAGCTTCCATCACAATCAACTACTTTCCCATCAAGACAGTCAAATGATGCTATCTCACCTTTCCTTCAATAGCTGAAATCTTGCAGGATAATGGTCCCTTCCGAATGATTTCAGGTGACTCTTCATGATCTACTGGTTTTGCTTCATTCCCTTCAGCAATGCTGGGGATCTAAGATTGTGATCAAAACATGAACAATGAAGTAGTGAGCGTTTTGGGAGACAACAAAGACAATACATTAGGCACATCATGAGGAGAAGCTGATAGAAAATTACAGCATAGACACTGAAATGAGAAACAAATGGACTAAATATATGAAAGGTACGGTGGAAACGTTAAGATGAACATTACTGGGAGAGGCCAGGGGTGCCAAATTGAATTTAGCCCATGATATGGAAAGGACTGCACTAAAAGAGAATGGAATGAAGGGGGACTACCAGCCCTATATGACTACATATAATGGCCCATCACAAAGATGATGATGAATGGCAAAAGTAAAATTGTTATTTCTCACTATGTTATGAGATACATTGGGCACATGGTGCTAGAATTATATTTCCATAAACCTACTGACTCTCGCCGGGCGATGTGGTCAATATTACACTTGACCTTCCACAACATTTTCCTTAAGGTGGAGGCCTCCATCATTCTATATACAGACCTCGACATTTGTTGGGAGAGCCTAGTTCCAAACTTTTTTTTTTTTCAACAAAATAACTGATGAGTTATGTGGTTGAAGTATCACCAGTCACCTTTACTTCTCAGTATATTTCCTTGTACTTTTTTTTAGAACAGACTGACCTGACAGCCTAGCTAAAAAAATAAAAAAAAGTTACTCATGCTGACTATCTTCTTCTCATCCTCCGTTTAATTCACTCAAGTGTTGGGGGACAATGTGAGGATCTACTGTCGGAATAACGAACTCAAAGATATTATTTTTAAAGAGAAGAAAGAATTTTAAAAAATTGATTAAATCTAAATGTGAACAAGATTATGTTACATATAGATTGATAAAAAGAGATGCAAAATGAAAGATCAAAGCTTCTAAAGATGAATCATGGAAAAAAGTATGGAGAGCAGACAGCCACTTAGTAGAAGTTCCCCTAGAGAATTTTACAAACAGGTTGAAAATATGACAGCCAGAGATGAAACAACAAGAGAGGCAGTCCTGTATTTAATCCAAATCAAAGGCTAGCAAGACTTATTAACTCTTCTGTTACTAGAAGACGGTTACAGTAGCCATCAATCATTGTGTAATGTGCTCTTCGGTATCAAAAGATTTTAAACTCCTAGTGTGGGTTCTAGGGCCCCATTATTGGGGGGGGGGGGGGGGGGGGAATAGACCCACTGTCCAAATAACAATCATGGTATAATTAATAGTCAACTAATTAGAGTGTTTTCCTTCAAAGTTAGAGTGCATTTGCCTGAGAAGCAAGGAACCAACAGTCTGCCTACAAATTAACCAGATCTGTCAAACTTACACGCATGAAAAACTCAAGTTCTGGAACAAGACTAAAGTCCAGAAGTAGATGAACACCCAGGACCCTCTGCAGGAATTTACAGCCGGTGACCACGAAGAAGAAGGAGAACAAGAAGGAGGAAGAGGAGAACACACAACACATTCACCTACAAATAACCATGTGCTCAAGGAATCTCTCTCTCACACACACACATATACACACACCCACCCACACACACATATATCCACACAGAAATTAAATTACAATTTTTCCTCCGAAGTCTGAGTACATCTGCCGGAGAGGCGGGGAACGATAACTGCAAACAAATAAGCCAGTAAAACGGATGTACACACAAAACTCAGGTCAAGGTAGAAGCCAAAAGTCCATTTTGGACGAACAACCGCGACTTACCGCCGGAATTTACAGCCGGTGAAAAAGAAGAAGAAGAAGAAAAAATTACAATTTTTCCAAAAAACAAAAACACTTATGCTAACAAACAAAGGACTTTTTCCCCTAAGGAATCACATACACACATGCACTTACACAGAAAATTATCACTTCTCCAAAGAATCTCACACATGCTCATAAATAAAATTACCATTTATCCAAAGAATCACATACACACTATTTACCAAAAGAATCTCAAACACACAGAGATGCTCACATACAAACTACATTCTTCTTCGCATTCACTGGCTGTAATTTTTGACAATATCTGAAAAGTGCTGGTTGTTCATCCACTTGTAGACCTAAGTCTTGCTCCAGAGCCTGAGTTTTGCATGCGCATCCCTTTTGGGAATCTGGCTTATGTCTATGCAGACTGTTGGTTCTTTGTATACAAATGACACACACAACCCAACAAGTACACACAAATTTACCATTTCTCCAAAGAACTTGTTCAGCTTGACTGCACTGTTACGTCTGGCTGTTCCACCAAGACCCCTATTAAATAAAATAAAAAATCAAATTGCTTTACTCAAGCATATTAGCATCAATAGAGAACACTGACTAAACGAAGCTGCTGTCGTGGAGCAGCTTGCACACTATGTTGAAAATTCCTATCACAGAGTATTATGTAAAAATGCAGACAGGTGTTTCCAGGTGAAGCTAGCTTAAAATGGTTACCAGGAAAGTTTTTGGGAAGTAAAGGTGGCCAGCTCGATACTGACATCACTATGTAGTACCATATGCCCAAGGTCTGGATTAAGGCCTTTTGTTATATCTTTACTTACCAAGGCTTGAGGTTAGTGAACATGTTTCATAATCCTTAATGTACCAGGGTTTAGAAACATACCATTCTCATGTCTTTTTTGACAGTGTAGAGCTGCACTGTGGAAGAGATTGGGACCTCACTATGAGCTAGCAGTAAACTTCCACAACCTCATACACCATGTGCGTGAAGGATAAGATAATGCTACAAAGAAAGTAAGCTTTTTCAAACTGGGCATATAGGGCTAGACCTAGCTCCTTTGTAAAAGAGCTAGCAGTAAACTTCCACAACCTCATACACCAGTGAGCTACAAAGAAAAGCTCAAAGCAGTCCTTAAACGGGGAAGGCAGAAATCAGAATGAAGACTACAGATAGCATAAGCAAACTTAACAGATGGAAGTGAATATTTAGCACAGCAGATGCCGAATGCAGATGTAGATTACTCCTCTTCATATACTGCACACAATTTCTCTTTAAAAAAAAAAAAAAATCAATAAATTCAAATTTATCTGTGTAATATGACCTATTTTTAAAGTCTTTTTCCTGGGAATTCCTGGGTTCTGGGTATTTACCCAAGGGTTTAATGGGGGAAAAGGGAATAATAACAATGTTAATGACACGTACAGCTAAGAACTTACTGTTGCTTGAGGTTTGCTGCATCCTGTGTAGCTGAGAAGGTTTCCTCTAAAGGAACTACATTGGTGCGGTCCCTGGCGGTTGCCATCAGGTATGAAGTTCTTCGATGGAGTTTGTTTGTCTGATCTTCCAGTGAATCTGACAAAGACAACCAACACAGTAGATGATACATGAGAAAATAATCTCTGACCACTTTTAACAAGATAAGATCCTCACAGAAATACTTCTGTCGTAATCTTCAAAAAAAAATACTTCCATGATAATCATATAGCTAATCTTGAATTTCAGGTGTGAGCTCATCAGATTTACTTAGATACGATGATATGAGGAGGAGAGTCGGCACAGAACCAACACTGAACTTTATAGGTACACAACAAATCAAATGGTTTGGCCATATAACACGATTGGCATGAGACAGGACACCACTGAGAGCAATGTTATACAGATACAGCGGTAACAGAGCCAGAGGTCGACCACCACAGAAATATCAGAGGACACTGAAAAGTACTTTATTCGAAGCAAACAGAAGGACTCCGTCCAGAGATCTCTTCCTGCTCTGTCACCACAAGGCATTCCACGAGCAGAGAAAAGAAGAAGAAGAGATGTACAGTATAACTAGAAACATCAAGATTTATGTATTAGGAAAGGATTCATTTGTGTGTACTTCATGATATGTTGATGTATCTGTGTTTTAATGCACCTGAAAAGACACTGTGACATATGCCGGACAATAAATGGTGCCATGTATTGTTTGTGTCTGCATTATTTGAAAAAAATACTTGTTTAGAACCACACAGGGTCGCATGAAAGGGGTTAAGACTCTTGATGTAACCAAGAACTGGCCAGAAAAGCAACACTAGAGAACTGGGGAACTAAGGGCTAGCTTCCAGTGATAGAATTATCTACAGATCTTGCTATATGTGTGAACAATTGCAGATATAGATAATCTATTTCAAGCGAATGAAAGAAGAAGAAGAAGCTTAATATGTGGTTCCCAAATTGTGTATCACAAATTTTAAGATGGTTAAAAAATATTTTGTAATGAGTGATCACAATATTATTAGTCACAATTAGTTTAATATGAAATTTCAAAATGAGGTTTTAATGTTTATTTTTTCAAAATAACATTTATAAAATAAATGAAAAAAGTTCAAGGTAGGGATCTTTCAAATTATGAAATAACTAAGGTTAAAAAAATATGAAACATTTCAAATTATTTTAATAACAAGACAAATAATGTTCTGCAGTCTTGCAAAGAGAAAGAAAATAGAGAACAGCATGGAAATGAGGACGATCAGAAGCTAGTAGTAGGGAAAGAGCTGATAGGAATGAAGCTGCATAGTCTAAGACAATGGTACAGAGGAATATAGTCAAGAGAACTGATCCAGAACACCAAAGACTGTGATGTGCAGGGAGACATTCACCCTTAAATTGGCGGTTGGTAGGCTGTGTTGCGGTTTAAATGTTGGTAGGTTGTGTTGTGGTTTAAACATAGGTAGGTTGTCGTTTAAATAGGCTGTGATACCTCTGCCTTTCAGGCCAACATATCAGATTTCAGCAAAACCTTAGATATATTTTACAACATGCTTCTTAAGGGGCAGTAGGTATATTCTACCCACCCCCCCCCCCTATAACACTGCTACATCTGGCCCTAGAACACTCATGGGGAGATGATGCTATAATTTTAATTATTTGCTATACCAGCCAGCCTTAAAATATTATTTTGGTTTAATTAAATTTTAACCACAGGAGACATGGAGTCACTCCTTACAATACAAATATACAAGTAAGCACATCACTTCATTGAGTGCCACAACAGTGCAGCGGCCATATACTTGTCTGCCAGCTCCCAGGTTGACCCCCAAGTAAAACTGATACAGGGAAATGTCATTAGAAGTAAAAGTTGCTGATAGGATGTTAACCACATCATCTGTTGAGTGCTGACAGGATGTTTTACCACATCATCTGTTGAGTGCTGACAGGATGTTTTACCACATCATCTGTTGCGTGCTGACAGGATGTTTACTACATCATCTGTTTATCGCTGACAAGTCAATAAAACAATACGAGTCTAGCATCATATAAAGTGAAAAGGGTACTTCACTTTTAAAAAAAAATGATTCTCTTTTCATTGCAGTAAAATTTTCTGAAAAATAAAGCATCCAATATGATGCATAATATAAAATAATTATACATTTCCACTCTATGAAAAATGTTGTTTTAAAGTTATTGTGCTGGTAGGTTGAATGCAAACAGGTGTTGTGAGTCACTCGGTTATAAAAGTGGGTTAGAGTTACTTAAAATACAAATGTAAAGGTCCCTTTTCCACGCCTTCAGGCATATTGGGCATATAGGGCTAGACCTAAATTTTACAGACCAATCGGTACTCGGTGGGTGATGTGGTCAACATGACGTCGGCCACCTTTACCTCCCAGAACTATACCTGGTACCCACTAAAGGCTGAGCCAGCTTGAGAGCCACGGTCAGTTTTGGGGGGAAAAAAAAATTGGTTCCTTCAGGACCTGAATCCATAACCTTCCGATCCACAGGTGAGAATCTGGCCACTAGACTAGGGTGGCTTCCTTGGTGGTACTTATATATTATAAAATGGAATTACAGTCATTTACCCATGATTAAAGAGAGGTTACTGTTACTCAGTTTTATCAAATGACAATATGAGCGAAAAGTAATTAGGATGACACCAGAGAAGTAGTAGTAACAAAATAATCCAGAACTCGTTGGGATTGAAACAAACACCATAATCTTGCAGGTGAGCACAATAAACTAAACACTTGCATCAACTTTAATGTTTGCTAAAGTGACTCCATCCTAGATACATTGACATCTTCTATTATATGAAGTTTCAGTAAATAGTGTACACACTGACTGCATCTGCAGGATGTTTATCCATCTTGTTTACTGTAAGTCACTTGGTAAAAACCATACACACCAAACTGTCCCACGAGTAAACAGATCAATAACAAATCCAGTGAAAATGTGAACATAGTCAAAACAGTAGCTCGGTCAAGTATGTTCCGTGCATGCCAAATATACATCTATCTGTGACAGTAACAGCTTGTTTCTTCTGCCACTGACAACTAAGAGCACAAAAATAAAGCCAACATAGATGCACTAACTAGTGCAGCTGTTTCACAGCCAGCAAGAGGCTTTGTTATGTTTGTTGTTCCCAGTTATTTCATTGCTCTTCTTTCTGCTTGTTCTTTTTCAGCCCATCTGTGTTATCAGATCACACCCAACATCAGTGAGAAACTTATTAGTTTTGCCTTCAATCTTCAGGATTTAAAGCAGTAGGGCTAGTGCTATTACTATATACTGTGCAGGTCATGGTAGGTGTGGAGATCGGGTGAATCTGGGGCTTTCTGCAAAGCACTAAACATTTGGCTGTCATGGTGTGCACACAAGCCACAGAAGTCATGTGAACTACCTGAAGTAAGGGAAGTGAGCTCTGGTTGTTGACCAGGCGTCCTCGCCGACGGTCTGGACAAGTGAAGTGAGGCCATCCACATTGGTGTATAGTGGTGGCAGAGTTATAGTGATAGTTTAGCTAATAGTAGTCAAGACATTTCTACAACTGCATTTAACTATAATTATTATAACAGAACAGGATAATGTTGAAAAAAAAACTATGTTGCTCTTTATTATTTCTTACAACAGTGTTTCCCAAACTGCGCTCCTGGGAGCTGTGACCTTTTCACAGGGGCGTCGCAAATTATTCAAGGATACACAAGTTTTTTTTTTTTTTACACATTAAAACATACTAATTCAGCTGCCACGCAACATACACATATTATACCTCAAAGTGACCAGGGATTGTTGAGGAATAATGTAAGAATAATGCTATAGTAACTAAATTTTGTTAGCAGTTAAATATTCATCAATAAAAAGACAAAATGTTTAGAGAAATTAGGAAAATGAAATAATAATTTGTCCATCGTGGACAAATTTTAATTGAAAAAAGGTGCTGCGACTAACACAAGTTTGGGAAACACTGCCTTACAACTTGAAAGTATTGTGAGTTAGCCTGTTGTTTTGAAGTCCTGTGATCAAGAGAGTCTGAGAAGTTACAGTAAAATATTATACCTTTACCAGGCTTAGTAGTGCAGATCATTATGCCAAAACATCATAAAGAGAGGCAAAGGAAATATCAGGGAATGCAACAGCAGCTAAGATGACCTTATTGTACACATGTGCTCCGACCTTGTACCCGCCTTTCGATTCCCTAATATCTAACCTTACCAAAGTATTGAACCTGGATCTCCTGCATAACCGCCTAACACTCTTAACCGTTTGGCAAGCCACTTCTCTACTTTTGACTTTACCTGACCTCTTCACTTCAATTCTCTCCAAATCATCCTAAACAAATTTTTTTTAAAATCACAACCATTTCTCATATTTTCAAATTGTTGTTGTTTTGTTTACAATCTCAAACAGCAATTATCAATTTGTCTGCTGACATCCTTCTATAACATGACAACTGTTCTTACATTTTTTTCCTCTAGCTCTCCTTCCATAAATCATTCCAACTGTCACAACACGTCCCAGTTTCTTTCCTCTGGTACACAACATACGTTCTCATAAAATGTATTTGGTCTGAAACTGACTCATGGATTAAAACAGGTGTTTATAGCGATACTAGCTGCCCTGGGACGATTAACATCTGAGATGTCAGTCGTAGATCAATACGTGTAAATGTATTCTCTGTGTTTTTTTCTGGTCTCGAGGGTTTCCTTGTGATTGATCTGCTGTGTTGAGGCTCTCTGTGTGAAAGTGGTTAAGCTGTTTGCCTCATGCTCTGAAGGTCATGGGTTCGTTTCCTCTCCTGGACACATTTGGTTCATTTCAAATAAAATTTTTATGGAGACCCCTGGGGATCATCACTAGAGTGAACTTACTACAAAACTAGTGGCATGGAAATGAATGCAGAAAAAAGCAAGATTCTGGTAAATAGTAGCAATAACCAAGTACCCACCAAAATGCAGATAAATGAGAAAAAAACTAGAAGAACATGACTCAACCCTTGGCCCATTAGGGTCGTGGAGGTGTATTGATGGAAGCACTAGCACTTAAAACCCGCCATCTTTCTCTGTCTTCCGCTTGATAAATAAGTTTATGATAAC